CTGCGCCGCTTCGAGCAGCATCACGCTGCAAGAAGGCTAAGCAGCAGCCAGCGTCGCGCGGAGCGCTTTGCTTACATTTCCAAGCTGGAAGAGCATGGCGATCTCGAAGAGGACGACGGCTCAGTGGACATCGAAGGCCACGATGTGCAAGATGGCTTGGGAGAGCAAGATGCTCTCGAGCGTCAGGAGCGGGCCCTGCACGCTGTGGCGCTGGATTCACTGCAGGATGTTCTCTTTCGCGAAGCAGAGTGGGCTCGAGTGCTAGCTGGACGGCAAAGCCGCACCAAGGAGACGCTGACCAATCTCACGGATTTCTGCTTGTCATTAGGAGGAGTCCCTCAAGTGCAGCAGGGATTGAGCATTCGTGCCCAAGGAGCTGTGGGTCTGCGGCGCAACTGGACTCATGCGGATGCAGAGCGGGCTCTTGGCGCTCAAAAGCGCTACCTGGAGTTTCTTTCTGGAGGCGCGGCGTATCCCATGCAAGCTCAGTTTTCGGTCGCTGTTGCTTTCATGTGCTTTTCTGGCTCGCTGTCTCTTGGTTTCGTGGAACTGCCCCGTTGTGGCCACAGGTGACGCAGAGATGGGCAAGGATGACGCGGACGAGGAGGAGTTCGCGCCGGAAACGCTGGACCCCTTCCTGGTGGACTTGAACGCCCGCGGCCTTGGCCCGGCCGAGTACGCGCTGGAGCTGGTGCGGAAGCACACCCTGAACAAGCAGCAAGTTCTGGCAGTGGCCCCGGTCGTGAACGCCATGCAGGAGATGTATGACAAGCGCACTGATTTCTCCAGCTGCCTGGCGGATGGAGCCAGCAGCGAGAAGTGCAACTGCTTGTGGCTTGGCGCAGGGGGCTCCGGCAAAACTTGGGCCTATACGAAGGTGCTCCGTCCTCTTTTCCAGCGATTCTTTGGACGCGCTGGCTACATCGTGGGAGCTCCCACCCACGCAGCCGTCAGACTCCTTGGCCCCGAGGCGAAGACGCTGCACAAGTGGGCCAACGTGAGCCCAAACACTGGCTTGGACCGCCGAAACCTTCGCGGTGCCAAGGCCAAGGGCAGCGCCGTGGAGGCGCAGATTGCCCAGGCGTCTGCCACGGTGATGGACGAGCTGTCCATGAATCCTCCAGATGTGTATCACGCGGCCGGCTATAGGTTTTCTCTGCTGCGACAAGAGCCTTTGGGCCTGGACATGAGCAAGTACATGGAGGAGTGGTTTGGCAAGATGCCCATCGGCATCCAGCTGGCGGACTTCTTGCAGCTGCGCCCAGCCACGCAGAAGTCGCTCTGTGAGTGGGTGTCGGCCAAGGCAGCGACAGAGCCTTCGGCCGACCCCGACGCGGACGCGGAGCACGACGACTCGGAGGAGGCTCCAAGGGCTTGGCGGCGTTTGTGAGCTTTGAGTGTTGTGTTTTTGTCTGACGCATTTCCACGGCTGGATGTAGGCCATGCCTCACTCTGAGTCTTCCGTGAGGTCAGCAACGCGTCCGAGCTGGGGCGCCTGCTGTTCAAGCAGTCGCTGCAGCGGGTCGTCCACTTCACCGGCACAGGTCGCTTCTTGGATTGCGTTTCTGGGCGACAGCTCGTGCAGCTTTTGCAGCACATGCGAAGTGGGACGCGCATGTCTGACGAGCTGTGGCAAGCCGTCAAAGCGAGGAGCTACACCTCGGCCTCCGCGACTTCAGCGTCCACTCGCGAGCAGCTCCTCCAAGCTCACTGGGGCGGCTTTGCCTGGGAGCAGGTGGCCCGCTTGCAGCAGCTCAGGGCCGCGCTGGAGGCCCGAGCTGCCGGTCAGACTTTGTACTTCGCGCAGGCGATTGACCGCCCCACGGGTCCTACGCAGCTCAGCAGAGACCACGTCTTCGCAGCCTTGCAGGTCGTGAACATGACAAAGACGTCATATCTGCTTGGCATGTGTCCTCTCTACGTGGGCATGCCTGCCCGCGTGTCTTGCATATTGCCCATGCCCTTGCTGACACGCGAGCTGCCCGTGATCGTTCGAAGGATAGAGCTGCACCCGAAGGAGCCGCCAGTCCCGGAGGGTCAGGGGTGTGTTGTTCTCGCATATCAGCCTCTGGCAGTGCTGGTAGAAGTAGATGACGAGGAGTACAAGAACTACTGCCTACCTGGGCATGAGGGCGTTCCGCCCGGGCACTTTTTCATCCGCGCCATATCTTCAGAAAACGCTTGGTCTTTTCATACTGCTGGCAAGGAGAAGATCAGCGTGGTGCGCAAGCAGGTGCCGCTGGCTCCTCGCTGTGTTTTGACTCACTACGGGCTGCAGGGCGTGACTGCCCGGCGGGGTCTCGTGGCCTTCCTTTCCAGGCCCAGCTGGATGAAAGACGCAGACTACGCCCTGGCGATGTACGTCATGCTATCTCGCCCGCGCAAGTTGGACGACTTGTGGATCATCGACTTGCCTGAGAGGGACGTGTTTGAGGGGCACTTGCACGCCCACAACACCACGCTGGTGGAGAGGATGCAGCAGTTCGAAGCGCAAGCGCTTCGGGACGAGAGCAGGGCATTGTCCTACGTTAGAAAGCTTGGCTGGCACAGCTCCGAGTTCGTGTCCGATCTCTTCCCCTCTGGCGCTTTTGAGCGGCGAGTCCGGCAAAAGCTTCGTGCGTGACACGCAGCCTGGGCTACCACACCGTTCGTCATCAAGATGGCTCAGCACTGCAGACAGCTATAGTCGTGTCATCTGGGTTGGCTCGCGCTGGCGGATGTTTCCGACGCGCGAGCGATCCCAGTCTGGCGCGACATAGACGTGGGAGGACGAGCATCTTGGTGGTCGGATTCCGGCGACTTCAAGGACGACCTTGGCACTTCCAGTCTCCGCGGCGGCACGCGTGATTCTTTGTGAGTCCTCCGGGCGAGTTCGTGTCCGATCTCTTCCCCTCTGGCGCTTTTGAGCGGCGAGTCCGGCAAAAGCTTCGTGCGTGACACGCAGCCTGGGCTGCCACACCGTTCGTCATCAAGATGGCTCAGCACTGCAGACAGCTATAGTCGTGTCATCTGGGTTGGCTCGCGCTGGCGGATGTTTCCGACGCGCGAGCGATCCCAGTCTGGCGCGACATAGACGTGGGAGGACGAGCATCTTGGTGGTCGGATTCCGGCGACTTCAAGGACGACCTTGGCACTTCCAGTCTCCGCGGCGGCACGCGTGATTCTTTGTGAGTCCTCCGGGTAGCATAGCTCATGAGTAGCTCAGGTAGTGATGCCCGGCTTGTTGCTGAGCGCAACGAGCGGGCGCATGCGACGAGCAAGAACAATGCGGTCTGGGCTTTTGCTTGTATGCGGGCGCACAACTCCGGCAGAGCCAGCAGCCAGCGCCACAAACGCACACGAACGACACCGCCAGCACTGGCGAACACCACGCGCAGTCTCACGCGCAGCAGCACGTGGCGCATCATGCGCAGTATCGCGCGCAGCGTCACGCACCGCGCCACGCACAGCTTCGCGCGCAGCACGCAGCCGCCACATCTTGCAACACGCGTTTCGCGATCTGCCTCGCTGCTGCCAGACGACATCAGCAGATTGAGCGCTTGCGCTGTCTCCATGTTTTGCTCTTCGAGGGAAGCCGAGTGAAGCCGGACAACATCAGCAGATTGAACCAGCTTCGCGCGCAGCATCATGTGCCACATCATGCGCAGCACCGCGCGCAGCGTCACGCACCGCGCCACGCACAGCTTCGCGCGCAGCATGTAGCCGCCATATCTTTCAACATGCGCTTTGCGATCTTCCTCGCTGCTGCCAGACAACATCAGCAGATTGAGCAACCTGCGTGACATGCTTGAGCGCTTGCACTGACTCCACGTTTTGCTCTTCGAGGGAAGCCGAGTGAAGCCGGACAACATCAGCAGATTGAACAACTCGCATCAGCAGCTTGAGCAGTTGTGTTGCCTGCACGCTGTTGCACTTGAGTGAAGCCAAGGGAAGCCAAGGGAAGCCGAGTGAAGCCGGACAACGTCAGCAGATTGAACAACCTACATGACATGCTTGAGCTTTTGTGCTCATTGCACGCTGTTGCACTTGAGTGAAGCCGAGGGAAGCCGAGTGAAGCCGGACAACATCAGCAGATTGAACAACCTACATGACACGCGTGAGCATTTGTGCTGCCTGCACGCTGTTGCACTCGAGTGAAGCCAAGGGAAGCCGAGTGAAGCCGGACAACACCAGCAGATTGAACAACCTACATGACATGCTTGAGCATGTGTGCTCATTGAGCGCTGTTGCACTTGAGTGAAGCCGAGGGAAGCCAAGGGAAGCCGAGTGAAGCCGGACAACATCAGCAGATTGAACAACCTCCGTGCCACACTTCTGCATTTGCATTGAGACCTCGCTTTGTAAGTTGCCTGCATGTCCAGGAGCTTCGCTCCAGTTTCGCTTCGCCCAGGTGGTGGTGGTTTCTCCACGGTGCCTCAGGTGTTGGTTCTCCCCCGCCTCGCCTTCCGCACCACGCGCCTGGTGGTTGGTTCAAGCTAGCGCTAATCAACATCGCGGTAGTTTGCTTGCTGCCTGTTTGTTCATGTTGGAGCCGCCCGAAGCATGGTATGCATCATCGAGATCCACATGCCGAGCCACTCGATCTACACGCGCGACATGATGGTGGGCAAGATCGCGATGAGCAGGGAGAACCTGCGCTGAGAAGCGCATGAAATTCCTCAACTTTTAGTACCATATTCGAGCTACTGACAAAAAGCGGAATCTGTCTGTGTGCAGCTTGTCGCGACTAGACTACTTGATCGCTAACAACTAACTTGCCTCCATGCTTCCGGGCCACTCGTCCTCTAGTTTCTTTACTCGTTCCTTTTCCGTGCCTTTTCTCGTTTTTTTCTTTTTTCACTCCTTTCTTTCCTCTCCTTTCCTTCTCTCGTTCCTTTCTCTCGTTCTCTTCTCGTTCTATCCTTTCTTTTCTTTGTCCCTTGCTTCTTCTCCTCTTTCTTTCCTTTCTCTTCATTTCTTTCTCTCTTCTTGCTTCCTAACTCGGGGATCTCGCGAGCGAGGCGCGGAGCCGGGCGCTCTGGTCTACGTCCCTTCGCTGGTGGCCTCGGTGGCGCGCCCAAGGGAAAGGAAGGAGGAAGGAGAGATGAGAGAAAAGAAGAAGGGAGAAAAGGGAAAGAAGAAGGAGAAGAGAAAGGGAAAGAGAAGGGGAAAGGGGAAGGGGAAAGGGGAAAGGGGAAAAAGGGAAGAAAGAAGAGAAAGAGATGGAGAGATGGAGAGAAAAGAATGAGAACAAAAAGGGAGAGAAGGAAGAAGAAGGAAAAGAGAAGACAAAGAAGAAAGATGAGACAAAAAACAAGACAAGAGAAGCAGGGGGAGCAGTCAGGGAGCTCCGTCTGAGCTCTGAGCGGAGAGCGGAGGAGGCCGTTCTCTTCGGGAGCTTTGAAACATCGCAGCTTCTGAGATCCTCTCTATCTCTGAGGTGGAAAACTACGATGCCGCCGCTGTGCTTATGGCTAGAGTCTTTGTCGAATATTTGCTCAAGTGGAATCGGCACAGGTTTGCAACATGGCGGAGAGCAACTGCAAGCGAATTGATTTGGAGCCACGTCCTAAGTGAACAAAGCGAAGGCGAAGGCTAAAACCAAAATTGTGCCCAGCCTCGACATGGACGGTGACATGGAACTTCTGGGCCGTCGCTGCCCAAGTTTCTTTTCTAACGCCTCCCTCTCGGAAGCAACTCGCCCCTGTCTAGGTCTCACGTGCTTGGGCCTCACCTCTGCGCCGGAGGGAGAGAATTCATTGAAGGTGCGCCATATGGGCAGCTGAAGCATTGCACAAGCAACGCACACTTGGAGCGTGAGGTGGAGACAAAGGCCTCAGTTCCGGCCAAACTGCGGCAAAAGGCGCACTAAAGCGCTGAGAGTTTCTGAGGGACTCCGTTCCTTTCCCGGAAATGACATTTGTTGGAGCGGCACTTGCGATCAGGTGCTGGTGCTGCTGCAGAGGTCGCGTGGGATCGGCGGACTTGTGCCATACGCGCTGCTCCAAGTTACGAGATTTTTGAGCCGCACAGTTCTCTGGCCGCACTCTGAGGTGGTGCACCTGATTCGGCAAAGCCTCAGGGAAAGCGAGCAGGTGGGACGCGCGCAACGCGCAGATGACCATACAGCAGTCGCACCTTTTCATCACTTGTTTCTCAGGGCCTGCAATTTCTGTCGGGAGTTGAGTATAGCTGTCGCCAGGTGCAGCAGAGTGCGCTGCAGCTTGCTTTACAACTCTCAGAAACAGTTGGACACCAAGTTTTTGCAGATGAACGGATTCTGTGATCTTGGCAGTCTCATCGAAACACTTTTGGCATCCGGAAACAAAGCGGGGGGGAGAAGGCACTTGCCACAATCCTATGCCAGTTGGAACCAACATTAAAATACACCAGCATAGACCCCAGATAGCACACCACTGCTACGAACCATGACGCAGCATCATAATGGTTCCCGCGGCATGATGATGATGTTGACAGCATCTTGATGATGTTGACAGCATCATGAAAATCCCACAGCTACTCAGCATAGTGCGCTACATAGACGCGCAGACAACGTCCTAGTAAGTCCATCAGCAAAACGATGATGTTGACAGGATGATGCTGATACACCAGCCACGGTCAGCCACGAACGATTCCGCGCTACATATCTAGCAGGAAAAAGGCAGAGACGACGCCCTGATGAGTTCTGAGTTCGGCAGCATCATGATGCGGACAGCATCATGATGACGCTCACAGCATCATAGTTATGGCAAAGGCAGCATCCTGATCAAAATTACCACTGCCACGAATCATCTTGCGACAGTGTAATGAAATTCAGCATCATCCTGATGCTGACAGCATGATGCCCGCCGCCACACCCACAAACCACAACGCGGCATCGCAGCGATTGCAGCAGCATCATAACGTGGTTGACAACATCATGATGATACACTAGCCGCGCACCATTACGCGCGACAGTCAGAGCAGCAACGACGTCCGAATTGGTTCAACAGCATCATGATGCTGCTGACAGCACCATGATGCTGCGGCCAGCATCATGATGCTGCGACAACCACGATACCCCAAACAGCACCCGCCCTAGCACCCTGCCATCCATATGCGCCCGCACCATCACTAACACCCGAAAACAGCAGCCCCAATAGCACCCCAGCGCAGCATCAGGCCAGCACCGGAGTCCCTGAGCACCCGGCCGTCACGTACTGTCATACTGTCACCAGCACCTGAACCGAACAGCACCCAAAACCGCGCCTGCGCCAGTACCCCAAAGCGCATGCCCCCCAGCTCCCAGCCGTCCAGCACCCGCCGACAATCAACCGAAAATTGCGCCCACAACGTCAGCAGCACCTCAAACAGCACCCCAAACAGTTCCCCAAAACAGCTTCATCAGCTCCCAAACTGCATGCGGCCATCAATCTTGCAAGTATGCACCATCACCAGCACCTCAAACAGCACCCCAAACTGAGTGGCCCCCCGCTGTCCATCAGCGCCTTAAACAGCACAGGCACCAGCACCTTAATCAGCACCGCAAACTGCATGCCCCCTAGCAACCGGCCGTAAGTTTCGCAAAGCGGCACCTCCACCAGCACCCGAAACTGCATGCCCCCTAGCACCCGGCCGTCAATCTCGCAAAACAGCACCTCCACCAACACTCCAAACTACATGCCCCCTATCTCGCAAAGCGGCACCTCCACCAGCACCCGAAACTGCATGCCCCCTAGCACCCGGCTATCAATCTCGCAAAACAGCACCTTCACCAGCACTCCAAACTACATGCCCCCTATCTCGCAAAGCGGCACCTCCGACCCGAAGCTGCATGACCCCTAGCGCCCGGCCGTCAATCTCGTAAAACAGCACCTCCACCACTACATGCCCCCAAAGCGGCACCTCCACCAGCGCCGGAAACTTCAGGCCCTGGCAACCCGCCGTCAACCTCGCAAAACAGCACCTCCACCAGCACTCAAACTACATGCCCCCGAGCACTAGGCCGTCAATCTCGCAAAGCGGCACCTCCAAAACTGCATGCCCTCTAGCACCCGGCCGTCAATCTCGCAACACAGCACCCCCACCAGCACCCCAAACTACACCCAACTCTACATAACCCCTAGCACTTGGCCGTCAATGTTGCAAAACAGCACCTAAACTGAAAAACAGCACCTCCACCGGCACCCCAAACTACATGACCTCTAGCACTTAGCCGTCAAGCTCGCAAAACAGCACCTCCACCAACACCCCAAACTGCATGCCCCCTAGCACCCGGCCGTCAATCCCGCAAAGCGGCACCTCCATCAGCACTGCAAACTGCATGCCCCCTAGCACCCGGCCGTCAAGCTCGCAAAACAGCACCTCCACCAGCACCCCAAACTGCATGCCCCCCAGCACCCGGCCCTCAATCTCGCAAATCACTGTCCCTTCTTTATTAGAAGTTAGAACCCCTATAGCTTTCAGCTATCTGGGAACAAAGGTCCCTGGCACTGGCTCATGTTTGAAGTCACCAGGATTTTGATCCGAGGTCGATCCTGAGAAACTGGTGGAGACCAGCCAAAGGATCATGGAAGAGGCTGTTTGCTTTGCGCATGAAATCGCATTTCAAATCATTCACACACTTCCACGCTTTCAGAATTGCTGCGAATTCCTTGGCGCTTGGCTTGCCTTTGTGCCAAGATTGAAGCCGTGTTCTGGCCCGGTGGAGGGGTCATTGCTATGGGCACAGCGTGGAGCCAAGAGTCGATTGCTGTGCCGAATGCAAATTGATATGATTCACAGAAAAGTAGAAAAGCACGAGAAAAGGCAAGTGGCACATTGGAGGCAACGCCGCTGGCTTTCAAAGCCTTTGGCAGCTTTGCACGCCAGCTCGCCAGCCTCTCAACAGAGCAACTTAAGAGCGCGTGAGTAGAAGCTGAAGTATCCATCAATTCTTGAGGCAGAGCGGCCAAGTGGCGGGGGCCGAGTGCTTGCGCTAGAGAGCGCTCCCAAGATGCAGTGGCCTCAGTGCTTTGCCCCTGTTGGAATTGCAGCTTGCGGTCGGTGCCGCAACCCCATTTGGCACGGAGACTGACCTGACGGATTCTGACGGCTCATACAGCTAGTGGCCAGCATTCAGGGCGTGCGAGCCATGAGATCAGCCGGATGGATCTGCAAGCGGCCCTCGAAGATGTGGCCCGACTTGCAGACTCGCTGGAGCTCTGCCAGGCCAAGTCTCGAGCCTGAGAGAAAGTAGATCAGTGCCAGTTGCGTGCAGGCGATTGGAGCTGACTATGCCCAGCTTTTCCAGCGCAGGGCCGCGCAGGCGCAGTTCAGCATGCAGGCCTGGACGGGCCGTCAAAACCAAAGAATTGGACATTTGAGACACTGGACCGAGGCATATATTGCATATCTTGCATTGTTGGAGCTTTGATTGTTGGGACTGGTACAGGGGACATATGTCACCATCGCTCTACCTTCAGAAAACTGTGTCATAAGCTCGCGTGGTAATCAAAGGGGTGTTCACACTTTGGTCTGGCTTTAAAGCGGCAAGCTAGCACGAAATTCAATATTTCCTCAAGCAAGCCGGGTCATTCAGTCTTAGCGTTTTGTCAGAGTTCGCCCTGTAGCATCCACCCGAGAGTCTTTTTTGGGATGCCCACACATTGAAGCGCAGGCAGCCGACCTGTATGAACTCGTGCGGCACTCCATCAGCCTGCAGAACTTGGTCGCTCTGCGCAAGTTTGCACCTGCCCAGAACAGCAGATTGGCTAGCATAATCCAGCAAGGTTGACGAAGCAGATGACAGTTCCGTGGCTCAGCATGAAGGATGACCCTGTCCTGCCTACTTTGGGGCATGACCTGCTTTCATGAACCAGTGAAATTAGTTGTGAGAGCCGGTTGAGACAAGGTCCCGCTGAAGCTTCAGACCAGGCCCTGGCTTGGCTTTATTCTGGCCCGACGCCAATGTGGTGCAAGGACTGGTTTGCTGGAATAGCGGTCGCTGAAGCTATTGCAGCTTCTTTGCGTGCCTTCGCAGCGTGCCTCCGCGGAAGTGCCACAACCTCAACCTCAGCTTCATCTTGGGGTTTGCAATGTGATGCTTGAAACTGAGGATCTTGCGGAGGAGCCGTGCACAATTTGCGTCCACACATACACACTACTATCAACGTATTTGTATCTAAACCACCCTCTTACCAAAGGACATTTTGATACACCTGGTCCAGCTCCTCAGCATAGATCTTGACGTGTTCTCCCCCAACTTGTTCGGCGGCCTTCAAAGGCAGTGGTTCACAATTGTGGCCCGTGCAGGGGTGCTTTGCCAGGCTTGCCGAAAGTGACCTAGAGCGGGCCCTGCAGTCAATTTGCATCTGGGTCCAATTCTCAGGTTGAGATAAGCTGTGAAAAGCAACGGTTTGACTGTGAGGCAACGGTCGTCCTTGCACGAGCTTTGGGCCATCAGCGCATCACAAGTGCCGTTCTGTGGGAGCCACTTGACAGCGATCTTGGCGTACATCGCATTTCCATGTGCCGGATTTGCCTGCCGCGAGGTGGGCATTGCATGATGCGCTGTGGGTGTGCACCCTGATCAAAGGCTGGGCGCTTCCAAGGAGGCATATTCCCTCTGGTGCCCATGCGAAACAAGCGGGGGTTACACAGTAATGGTCACACGTCCTGCGTCAAGTGAGTGTGTACATGTTTTGACGCCGTGCGTACATGTTTCGTCAGCTTGATAGCGATTGTTCACCTGAGTGTGGCTTTGGCCACTGCCAGTTGCTTTCTCATAGATAATTATGTGCCTGTAAAAAGAGGTGTTGGTAGAACCATGCCATGATGGGTTTTTGGGCAATACTCAGCTCAACCACCAGGCACCTTGACCGCATTGATGGAGCAGACTTCCATGCTGACGAATTCAGATAGAAAGAACGAGGATCTCGCAGAGTTTGCGGAGATCAAGAGATTGGTGCTGGAGGCTTTGGACTCTGTTTGCAGCGGAATGCGACAAGTCACCTGATAATCACCCGTGCGATCAAGTGATGTGTGGAGTGGAGAGGCTTTCCTGGGCCTGGCGTCGACTGACATCGCTTTTCTGTTCAAGGCATGTCCGACAGACGCGTTTGTCAAGCAAGATTTTGCCTGGCTCAGGGCCAAACGGATGAATCCATGGCCTCGCAGAACGAGGAGACCCTTTGAATTGTGAAAGATTTGGCCTTGGTTTCGACGTCTTGACCAGGAGCTCATCCGCCATCGCAGTCAGTTGGCTTCAGCCATCGTGAGGAGCCAGCTGTGCCAGGCAGGCGGTCCCGAGCCGAGGATACCTGTAAGCGGCAGTGCTCAGGTCGTGATCATGCTTGTCGAGAATGAAGGCATGTCCGCGCAAATGGCCAACTTCTTTGCGCACCTTCGCAGCAGTTGTTCCACGTCTTTGAGCCAAGTTGAGGGTGGAAGTGAGGGCGCTTCTGCAGCCGGAAATTCTGGGTGACAACGCCTCATCTTGGTCCAGCCTGCGCGCGGCCACTCTTGTTTTGCTTGGTGCGGCTCTTTGTCCCCCATGCCCAGATTGGCACAGATTGGGAGCGGCTCAGGTGGTGACTCGCCTTCAGCAGTCACCACCTTTGAAGAGGCAAGGCTTTGGTAGAGTCCGTGCTTCTCAAACAGATTGAGCGCAGGCGAAGAAGACGGCCTCTTTGTTGCGATCCTCGTCCAAACAGCTCTGTCTATTGTCTACCAAATTCCCCGTGTTTCTGCACATGACCATTTCAGGTGCGGAGTTGATGGAGCATGCAGCATCGCTGTGGTCGCATTGGGCTGCTGCTTTGGGGTGCAACAATCCAGGATTTCTGCAGAGTTGTGCTCCTTGTCTCAAGCTCTTTGCATTTCTTTGCATCTCTTTGCATCTCTTTGCATCTTCTTCACATTGGATGAAACTCATTTGCATTACAGAGGCAGTCCTTTCGTACTTCATCCCTCTCGAAGAAGAGTGCTTGGACTGCAAATGCTGCCTGGGCCCATCTAGATGTACACATCTGAGATGAGGTCTCTGCGCAGCTTCATATCAAAAGGCCTTGAGAGAGCACCAGTTTCTGAAGATGCCATTCTAGCTGGATTCTCAGCACAGCACCGGCCCCAAATGCGAGCCAGCAGTGCGCCACATGATGAGGTCACATTGTGCTTTGTAGCAGCCAACAGCCACTTGCATTGATGAGCCATGCATTGCATAGACAGTCAACCATGTTTGCTAGCCAGCGGAGGGATGAGCAGAGGTGGAGCTGCGCCTTCGGAATTTCCAGGCCTCGTTGAGCACTACAGACAGACCTCTTCGAACGTCAAGTAGGCGTCTTGGACTTTCTACAGACCTGTTTGTTACGCCCGCTTCACCTAGGCCACTTATGGATATGAGATGGGAGCGATGGCTGTGGCAAGGATGTTGCCAGCTGGACATTCTGGCACAGTGGACTGTCGAACTTGAGATGCCCCAGGCTCTTGGTCCCGGGCTGACTTGACTAGCATGTTCTCATACAGCTCGGTTTCGAAACCATGCCTCTCGCATTTGGTGTGCCAGAGTTAGTCACATGGTCGGGGGTGAAGACCGCACAGGTAGAGTCAAGTGATGTCCGCTTCGAGCCAGAGCCCATCGGCACATATGCCCCATGCATGCCTGGCCCACCAGAGCCATCTCATTATGGGGCTCGGCTTCAGGACACAGCCAGAGATGAAGCAATTGAAGCATTTGGAATCATTCGGAACCACCACTCGGAGACTGGGACTCGGTGGACATCGCAGGTTCAAAATGGAGGGCTATTCTTTGGGAAAATCTCCCGTTTTTCTTCAGGATTTTTTCCTGCTTGCCTTATCTGGCTTCTTAGCTTCTTGGCTTTTTGGCCTTTGGCTTCTTGGAGTCTGGGCCTTTTTGGTTTCTTGGCTTTTTGGCTTTTGGCTTTTTGGCTTTGCATTTTTTGTGGCTTCGGCTTTCTACATCCTCAGCATCACCAGTGACACCCCAGCATCACCGGCGGCTTTTTGCTTTTTGGATTTTTGGTTGGTGGCTTCTTACCTCCCAGGTTTCTGTAGATGGGAGGGGCTGCGCCCCTCCCAACCTCGTTATGGGGCTGTCGTTTGGCTTTGTGATGACCTCAAACGGCAAGCCTGAAAATCTGACCAAACCCCAATGAATCCAACGCCCACCCTAAGCCCACGTTTTGGCCCCAAAACCACCCCCTAAACCCACCCTAAACCGCCACTAAGACTAGAACCAACCTTAAAACCAAACCGCCAACCCCAAAGGAGCCCTAAAGAAACCTTAAATCAGCAAGACTCCCCAAAGAAACTTCTAAAAAAACACTCTAAACCAGCAAACCAACCCTACACCTACCCTAAACCAACCCTAACCTCCCTAACCCCCCAAGCCAATCCTTAAACCACCCTAATCCCACCCGAAACGAACCCTAAGTCTGCACTAAACAAGCCTTTTGTGAGCTTGTTAGCTTGATCCGCATCCTCCGCAGCTGTGCACAGACTCATGCAGCAAAAGCCACGCGGTCTGAGCATTGCCTGCTCTTGCTTGCTTTTCATTTGCCCCCTAATTAGGGTCTTGCTCTTTTTGGGGTGGCTGCTTGTTGGCGCCCGAGTTCCTGTACCGTGCAAGCGCTTTGGCTCAGCAGGTCAGCGGGTGAAGGACCTTCGACAAGCCAACAAGGTCCTGAAAGAGATGAAGGAAGCAGCAGCTCGTGGCGAGGCGGTGATGGAGCACCCGGCTATCAAGGGCGAGCCGATGTTCGTCAGCCACTTCGATGCCTCCCTCGGCAAGGAGCAGGACGATGGGGCCAGTGCATTTTGTGACCTCGACCTCAGCAGAGAAGGTGCTTTCCACAGCGGCAGGATGATTCGAGTGGTTCGCAGCACAAAGCAGCCGCCGTGACGGCAGCTGCCGACCGCCAGCTTTACAACAGGTTGCTGTGGCAGGCCCTCACCATGGGCTACGTGGAGGTGTCTCAGGAAGGACTTGAGGTCCAGAGCTATCTTGGTGACAGATGCGCGACCACGTCACCAAGGGGTAACCCCTACGCCCGCTCTAAACCCACCCTACAGCAACCCTGAACAAACCCAAGGCAAACCTGACACCAACCCAAAGAAACCAAACCAACACTAAACCATCCCCAAGCAACCTGAACCTACCCCAAACCACCCTAAGACCACTGACCTAAACCAACTCTAAACCAGCCCTAAACCCACCCTAACCCAACCCCAACCAGCGCTGACCCAAACTTTCCCTAAACAAGCCTGGAACCCACCCTGAACCAACCCTAGCCAATCTTGAACCATCCCTAAACCCAGCCTAAAGAAAACCAACTCGTGATGCCGAGAATGTTGAAAAGGATGCGGCCAAGTTAAAATGATGCCGGGGATGTTGACAGGGCAGGGAGATCGCGCCTGCCAGTTCCAAGACAGAAAATCCAGAAAATATCCAAAAACAAAACTTGCAAATTCCCAGAACAAATCCAGACCCCTTCAATACACTCTGCCGAATTGTATTGTAGTTTGATGGACGTCAAAGCAGAAACGACAGAAGCCAAATTTGTGCAGCTGGACTGGTCGAGGAGCTGATGATTAATGCGCCGCCGCCATTTCGATGCGCCCTCACTGGCCAGCTCATGATGGATCCAGTGCTGACACCTCAGGCCAGGTCCGCCAGGTCTGCCAGGTCCGCCAGGTCGATGTTCAGCCAGTCGTTGAAAGTTGGCTGAGCGTAGATGGGACTCAAACACCTTGCCCTGAATACTCTACACAGTTAGGGATGTGTGTGTGTGTGTCAAATCGGTTGATCGCTCAAGTCAGCGATCAGACGATGCTTCTGCTGCAATGTGATTCTATGGCAATTTCTTTTGCCTGGTTTGTATCACTTGCGGCTTGAGCCTATGAAGCGCACTGCTGTTTCCTTTTGCCCTGATTCTGCAAATGCGGCAGGGAGGCATGTGCTCTTGCTGAGTGCCAGCGCGTCAAGAGAAAGCAAGCATCAATGAGAACCAACACCAATGGCCTTGCCCGCAGCTGTGCTGCATGTGCTTACAAAGTTGGGAGTATGGGTGAGTCGAGGTGAAGGCGGCGCTTCCAGATTATCTCCGCCCAAGCAACAAGTAATACTTTGCCTTTGGAGACTCCAAATCACAATAAGCTGAGGTTTCGTATTTATTGCACAAGGGGATGCTGACATAGACCGCTTGCACGACACCACGGGAATGACATTTGTGACGAGGTAGTCGGTAGGCTCTTGAGCTTCTTGTTTCGAACCGCAACAGTAGCTTTTGACCTGCCAAACGCACTGTTTCACTGTGGCCAGGGATGGATCGCGGAGCGCGCCCTCCTCGCAGAAGCTTTAAAGGCTACCGGTGTTTGCCCACTCTCAGGACATATCGCATGTGCGCCGATCTTGGGAGCTTGCTGCACCGAGGAGTTCCTCTGAATGTGGACGACCTCCTGCGGCAGCCGCAGCTGCGCCGGAGGATGGACCAACCAACAGAGTTGATGCAACCGAATTGCAGTTACATATGGTCCTACTTGCAACAAGTTGATCACCAGCCATCGCAGCACCAGGCAGACTGCTTGCATTTGCCTTTGGGCGTGGGGCTTGAACAGATGATTGCACTGCGCAGGATCACAAAGTGGATCCGAGAGTGCAAAGATGTAAAGATGGCAGCGCACGAAAGAAGCGTCGCAGATTCTGCCCTGAGTGTGTTTGACGTGCTTGCAACACAAGCACGAGCAGCCTGTTTGCTTGGCGCATTGCTTCAGGCTCAGATTGCTGGCTGCGAACGAGAATGCAGCACAGGACGCGCCAAGAGTTCACTTGCTTGTCACCTGATTTGGATCCACGCTGTAAGGACATTCTCGAAGCACTGTCCGGTCTAGTTGCGTGCCTTCGTGGAAGTGACGCGCATGAACGCCAAGACTTTTTGCCGCGCGGGGCCTCAGCCTGACCAGGACTGCAAGTCCGTCCATTGCACACATACCAGAAAACAGAGAACAGGCCCACTCATTGCATAAAGTTGGCCCGCAGGCTTCTGGACAAACTTGTTACAGCTCCACGAGCTGTGGTTCGAAGAGAGGCACGCAGTCAGCTTTGCGGGAGCCAGGACTTCCCCCAAACCAAGGTGCTCTTAGCGGCCAGTAAGAGAAAGGCCCAGGTTCGGCTTGGGTGTACGGGCACTGTGCGTGGGCTGGCTCAGATGGTGTGTGGACTGATGCCTGTTTTGTGGGGTTTGCATCAAGCAAGCAGTAGTGCTACGGCTGACCAGGGCTGACCTCAGTTGTCTAGCAGCTGTAGGCTATGGGTAGTTTTGTGACCCGATTCAAGTTCTCGTTTATCCACGTACGTGCCTGGGACAATTGGCTCAGGGAAAGCGGTTTTGAGCTGGTGAAACGCGGCATTTGCCCATAATCATACTATGTTGTCCATGAATTGGCAAGCCTTACACAATAACATGTTGCTTTGGCCATTGAAGATATCTTTGTCTGACTTTTCGCGCCCAGACAGCAAAACTTTCCCAACCACAAACTGTTCGGTGTCGCTTGGGACATTTGTCCCTGTCAAGGGAATGATCACGAAGGTACGTTGATCGGGCAATGAGTGCAGGTCTTGCGATGGTCGTCGGCGTTGTTCCCAGCCTCCGCACCCGAAGGCCAGTGATCGCGGATTGGTTGAACTGAGCCATGAGAGTTCTGAGAGGTAGGTACTACGCACTGCGGCTGCTTGGCGATCAGGACTGCCACATGCTGCTAGCAGTTTCGAATTGCGATATCGAAAGGATCCAGATCTTGCAAAGGCCTGCTTGCATTGTGCTGAGTTCATGAGTTCAAGCCCACTGTCCGCATCCGTAGGCAGCGGAATCGGCACTTTCAAGCGGCGGACGTGAGGCTGGTTTTCTCAACAAAGGATCAACATTGCCTGAAGTTCAGGCTCCTCCCTTTGTGGACATGTGCAGCTTCCTTTCTTTGCGCGCACTTGGCCCTGTGGATGCGGCCGAGAGGAGAATCCATGTGAGGATAAGGAATTGGAGAATATTGAGTCAACAAAGCATGCCAGGATGTCACAGCAGCAGGAGGCGGGCAGGGCTTCGCCGTTGGAAGCTAGGCATGCCTCAAGCCATGCTCCAATGCGGTAGCACCAGCATCAGCTTTGCATCTTTTTAGATGGGCGCAACTAGAATTGATATCGGAGACAGTGGCACGCCGTGCAGACACTTCTGCCAGGTCTTGCGGCAAGGTATGCCACCACTGGCAGCAGGCATAAAACAGTGAGTCTTGACGCAATCCGAAAGTGCCGTGGAGCTTCAGCAGGCTTCACCTGGACGGACCTTGCCCGTGCATTGACAGCTTCTCAAGATTTGTCTCCCAAAAGGGGAAACCTTGGACCTTTCCTAAGGTCCTTCCTGATCAAGTTGGCGGAGGCTGAGGGTCTGCAAACGGTCGAGGCCTGGCTGCTGGGCCTTTGGAGCAGGGTGAATGACCGGAATGTGAAGGCTGTCAATTGGCGTTCATTGCTGATTCGTTTTTGATGCATTGCTATCTTTGTCTCCCGCGTTCACACAGTGGCATCGCAGGATTACTCTGAGCCAGTGGCCAAGAAGTCCCCAGCCTTGGTTTCTGAGGTTTCGCTATGCGGCCAACACCTTGTACTTAGGCCACGACTTTCGAATGAGGCGGGGACAGCGGCTTGGCTGATTTTTGCACCAATGGGCCTATGCGAATTGGGTAAATCTTGTAAATCTCACGCTCAGGTCTTCGTGGTCTTGCTCGACTATATCCTTGGCACAGTCATAGAAGGCATGTCGAACAATTGACAGTTTTCTTTTGTTTTTGCTTTTGCCTCGTCTGGAGCGCACGGAGTTAGCAGGCAAGCCCTGGACCATTGTCGACGAGATCGCTGATGGAGAGACCTGCTTGGAGTCCGCTTCCAACTTTCAAGCATCTGGAGTTGACTCACTTGCTTCAGCTTACTCAGGCTGGCCTTGAAAGGCTTGCACTTGGCAACTTCCCTGTCAAAGGGTCGTGCGCTCAAACGTGCCTTTGTTTCATATTGATTGCTGGGAGAAATGTTATCGCTCCCCGCACCGGTTCTCGCATGTCCGCCGTGCGGGATGGATGGATGAATGGATGGATGGATGGATGGATGGATGGACGGATGGATGGCGGATGGATGGGATGGGATGGGATGGCATGGCATGGGATGGGATGGGATGGCGTGGATGGATGGTTGGTTGCTTGGTTGGATGCGTGCGCGCGGCCCGCGTTGCGCACGCGCGTCATCAGGACTGAATTGCGGAAGACTGGCCTCAAACGCGGGCGATGTGAGGGATGCAGGCGATGTGCGAAACACAGGGCTTCCAACAGCGTCGGCGACGCTGGTAATGTAGCCGGGTTGCTGCGTCTTTGCAGTGTTTGGAGCCTAACTCGAGCTCCAATTGCTGCGCGGGCTGTGATGATGCACCACAGTCGCTGGAGCGACCGTCAGTCGGAAGGCAAAGCCTTGGCATGCGTCACTTTGGGCGACATGCACGGCGAGGCCGGACGTACGTTGCTGGCGCACAACCGGCCGCGGCAGCACCGGGATGCTCAACTTCATATAGCCAGCGCCCCTTGAAAGCCAGCACAGCCTTGAGCCAGCTGGGCTGGCTGGGCTGCTGGACCGTTCCACAAATCCCGAATGTCCAGGCAGGCAGGGAGTAAGTTGGGGGGGCAGAGGAACAAGCCTGGTTGGGGGGCACCTGCACGCCCACGCACGCGCGCAGTCTGGGCCAGTGGCTACGCAAAGCATGTCAAGAAACCATGCCCTTTTGTCGCTCTCAGCAGTGAAAACCGTGTTAAAATTTGCAGCGGCCCTTAACTGCAAGATGCCGTGTGGAACGCGGCTCCCACCAACAGCAAGAAGAGTGCTTTGGCGTATGTACTCATTGTGCTCCAAGGATTGGGCTTCTCAATGCTCATGCAGACATGCTCGCAAGTTTTCTCAATGTTGGGGCGCGTCTCAGCTGTGATTCCCTATCGGCCAGGCTCCTTTCCCAGATGCTGGTGATGTAGTGCAATGCTTAGGTGCGAAAATTTAGCGAGAGCGAGCTCGTCAGAGCGAAGTTCAGCTAGGTTTCCTTGCTGGTGATGCTGGTGATGCTGGTGACGCAGTCTGTAGATCGAGGCGACGGCCGTCCGCGCAACGATCAGCCAGCTCGTCAGAGCGAGTGTCAGCTAGACTTCAGCGAATGTCAGCTTGACTTCACTGCAATGGTGATGCTGGCGATGCTGTGACGCCGCGTGCAACATGTTGGCTAATTTGTGAGAGCGAATCTCAGCTAGTGCTGGTAGCGCTGTTGATGCTTCTGTAGATCGAAATTTTCAGCTAGACTTCATTGCTGGCAGGGCTGGTGGTGCATTGGTGCAGTGATCAGACGCTACCACTGTGCTCCAGAACAAGTGACCCCTGACGCAACCATGGCATTCTCCTTGCAAGTTTGGCCGCGCAAAATTTGCAGCCACAGACAAAAGCAAATTAGAAACTCTGCTACAGAAAGCCACTTCACGAAAGGCTGCAGCCCGACCAAGCAGGCCAGTGACAGGCCCTAACAAAATAACCGCACAGAAAAACTCGCACCCACACACAAGAGCAGGCTAGTATCCAGCTGCGCGAGCAAAACGGCGGCAGCCCGAAAAAACTCACTTGATTCCTTGACCATGAGCATTACGTGAGTCTTGATGGTGCACATGGTTGCATGCAAACGCCCAGGTCACGATGCGGTCTTGAACGCGGTGTGACACTCGGCAGGCAGAATGTGTCCACGCAAAGGCACTTGCGTAGGTCATCGCCAGAGCTGAAGCACTTCTGCTCGGACAAGGCGGAGGGAGATGCGGACGTACAGCACTCGTATTTGGCTGTCAGGTGTGCGACATGTGTTGATTTCCGATTGGGAGTTGTTTGCTTCTTGAGTCCAGGGGACCAGAAGAACCAGAGAGAGAGAGAGAGAGAGAGAGAGCAGCGCAGGCACAGCCTTCCTGCGCGGAGGGACCAGCACTCGCCTCCGAGTCTTGGAGAAAAGCGAGTCATTTGACTCGAAGCCGTGAGTCAAGTGCTGAAGTACTCAACGAGGGCTGTGCTGAGGAAGACTTGGCGCCCGCGTCCTGGGCAGCTTGGCCGAGCAAGCGCCAGGCCAGGCCCCAGGGCACGGCGGACACGACGCACGGACACCGATGTGAGCGTAAAGTGTCTTGGCCAGGGACGGCAAGTCGCTGGCTGCAGCAATTGGAGGCATCGCTGGCAGCCAGGTCCTTTGAGAGCGAAGTCCTGGCAGTCTTGGCAGTGGGAGTTTTGTGCACATAAGGACTCTGATGCAGGACGTCGCGCTGGAGCCGCATTGGCCATTTGCGAGCTTCTTCGTGCAGGCGTCGTGTGTGTGACCAAAAGACTACACATTTCGGAGACTGCAGATGCTTCCCACAAACGTATTGAAAGCGGAAGGCACTTTCGGGTCTTTGTCCGGCGACAATGCTATTTTGTCTAGCCTGGCAGGCGCCGAAACAGCACGACCTGCTGAGCTTTGCCGAAAAGTCATGAGCCAAGATGCAAGCCAAGAAGGAAGAGTCGGAAGAGTTGCATTTCTGTGAGATCTGTGAGGCAGAGTTTTCAGCCGAAAGCCTGAGGTGCTTGGTTTCTTGGGACCTGCGGAGTCAGTGCCGCCCCCAGAAAAGCTCGATCGATGCACATGCAACTCATGCGCAGAGGACACGTCCACACTGGCAGCAGCATGTGATGGGTTGCGACGCCTCAGCCACTGGACAGCGCCCAGGTTCGAATCGTTCGATTGGATTGTTTCTTCTTTCCGTTCTTTGAGGTCTTTCCGAATTCGTTTGTTTGCGTTCATTGCTCAGTCGGTGCCGGTTTTGGCTTGATCGAGGCGAACGCAAACCGCTGGTTTGGGAGGCCTTGGACTCGCTAGGCCAGAGTGAGTCACACCCGATTGCCGCCCATCTGATGCTTGCTATGCGCAGGCTCCGGTTCCGGCTTACTTGATCGCGTGTTTGAGTGGATCCCTTGGCCTTGGCGAAGCCGCAACGTCACTCAGCAAGCCTAGGCTGTCAGCACCTCTGGACGGAGTTGAAGTCAGCTCAGCTCCAAGAGGGCCTGAGTATCATAAAGCCCAACAGTCTTGCGCTGCATCATTGTGTAAAAAGGGCCAGTGAAACAAGGTTCATTTGTTGAACGGGTTTTCAAATGAAGACTTGCGATTGAGGCGGCCACAACTTGGAGCTCATCTATGCAAGGCCTGAGCACGCGCTTTGCTTCACAGATTCCTGACAATGCCCTTGGCTCCGGGCCATTGGCACGGGTTACGGGGTTACGCAAACCCAAGTTACGTGTTCGTGCCGCTCTGAACTCTGAAAGTTTAGAACCCATGGAACTCGATTTCTTCGCCCAGTTGGCGATTCCTTGGGCAGCTGGCAGCGTGGGGTGGTGATGAGTCTGAGCGCTGCCATGCCCTGAGAAGCCAAACCGTTTTCGAACTAAAGCAAGCGAACGTGGCCAAGGTCTTGACAGGCTCATCTCCATTGGCAAAAAGGACGTGAGTGAGGAGGTCGGGCAGAGTGCCACAGAAGAGGATTTGAAAGCATGAGTTCATTGTAAGTTCGTTGCAGAGAATGTAGAGATGCCAACATTGGCCATGCGGACGCCCAATGTTCTCCGTTGGAAAATTGTTCAAGGGCTGCGCCCCACACCAGCTGCACTGGCCGTCCCCACTGTTCTGCAGCCCGCCCCATGGGGATTGATGTCTGCCAGCAACTATTGAATTTTCAAGCTTGAATTCGCGGGCTGGCGTCCAGAAGTGTGGCACGTGGAAGTGTTCCAGGCTCGGTCCCAGACCTCTGGGCCTGTTTTGTGGGCGTCCTCTGCCCTATCCGGTCCTGAACCGCACGTTTAGCCCTCTGGACGCATGCCTGGCTCGCCCCCGCAGCTCCCCGGCCCGGCCACCCACACGCAGTGCACGCCCCCATGCGCCCACCCGACGCAGCCGCGCGTGCTTGCTACGCCCGCGCGCCCACCCACTGTCACTCATAAAGTAGTTGATTGATGGCTTCTGTCTGCAAAGGTCTGCTTATGGTCATTTGCTTCATTTTTCTTCCCTTGGCTCTTCTGTCCCCCGGCTACTTATTTCACAAGAAATGGTCGCTGAAATTGGCATGGCGAGGGCCACTGTCACTGGATAGCCGAGCGTAAACTTTTTATTGCGTGATTCAAGAGCTCATGTTGACCCACACGTGTAGAATGTAGAACCATACCATGAAGCAGAACCAAAGAATGGTGTGACCCAGGCTGCAGAGAGGATGTTTGGCGCTCGCAGCCACCCAGAAAGCTCTGTGATCCTGTTCACGCCTCCAGCCGTCAGGCGCTCCACGTGCTCCTGTGACATCGGAGACATCCAGCAAATGAGTCCCTGTCCCACATCTGTAACAGAACAATTTGCTTGCTGCTGTATTCATCGTGCGCCCGACATACGTCCACGCACGGGTGGTAGCGCTGGCGCTGTCCATGTTCGATAGAGTGAATGGGCTCAAAATGGCTGCAAAGGTGTCTAAACGCAGAAGTTGTAATGGGTTGGTCCATGACTGTGTGCACGCCAAGTGTGCATACCGGCTTGTTTAGTTGCGAGACGACTGTGACCTGCGCAACTGATGTTTAATTAACGCAGCACAAATGGTGTGAAGCCCTACATGCCAGCTGTGCGCATGTGCTTGTTGAGAGTGTCGCTGGGCACAAACTTTGCCAGAATGTCAGCCAGGTTGTCCTGTGTGTGATCGTATCTTGGGCATCGTGTTGATTATCCTCTTAGCAAGTTCTACGCATCAGTTCTGAAGCGAGCAATTTGGCCTGTGCTTTGCTGTCATACTGAATTGTGGCTCCTAAGAACTGTGTTGCAAATCCTGCCAACGTTGAGTGACATTGCTTGGCTCCATTGTATCTTGCCTTTGGGTCGTCCGTAGGCTGTCCTTGCGTGGGTGCTGGGTTGCGCGTTGTCATGCCTGATTCCTGCAGGATGATGTCGGTGTAGGTGTTCTCCAGACGCGTCTGGATGCTGCCGATGACCTTAAGGAAATGTATGGTTGGCCCGATGTCAGTTTCCTGTGTACCTAAACAGGACTTTCTTTTTTTCCTCTTTTTTCGCTGAAACACTGTGTCAATGATGTTTCCGGAGATCGTTCATGATGTAGACTTGGCAGTCCTTTGATTTGTGCATGTTGCTCTCTGTTGGGCAACATATGAGGCCAAGTGTTCCTGCGAGGACGTGCGCTAAGTCGCAGGTGTAGGTGGAGGCGTGATCAGGTTGCGTGTGATCTCTGCTGCATACAGGAGCGCAGTGCACTTGCAAAGGTGAGGCTATGATACTCTCAAGTGTTTGTTTGGGTTTGATGCTTTCTTGTTGTTCTGGTGTCAGTCCGCGCCCGTCTCTCCTCTCTCTCTCTCTCTCTCTCTCTCTTGCTGTGAAGACTGTGTTTCTTTTTGCGTTCCTTGTGCTATATGTTGAAGACCCAAGCATTATGTGTCATGTATGACTGGCTCTCTCATTTTCCATTTCCTACGGACCTTAGTTGGGCGTGGGCTCGTCTTGTTTCATCACCATCACGGTGAAAACTGCCATCACTACCACCCCCCCAACTACATAATCGGCAGAAGGAATCACAGGCAAACAACAACGGACCACAGCGACGCTGCTGTCTTCCATGGTCCTGTGTGCGCAGTCAAGAAGTTGCCCGTTGTGCTCTGCCCAACGAGGGATTCCCCAGTTGTAGTGCTCTGCCGAGCCAGACTCCACGGTAGAAACGTGGCTCAAGCTTTGGATACTGTTTGACTGTTGGGGTCGTGCGCGTTGGGATCATACGTTGCGCTTTCTCTCCACATCGCAGAGTGGTGTGTGTGTGTGTGCGGAGCATCAGATTTACCCTGATGCCAACTTTTCAACATGCAGGGGGGCAACGGACACTCTGGGTCGCGTTGCCCAACGAAGACCGTCCAGAGTTGTCGTGAAGCAACACGGGACGCCGTGCCGTGTACCTGCAACATTTGCGTGATTATGAAAGTCTATTTGGCCCCTTGGTTGCGGCGCTGTTTGTGCTTCTTGTTCTTTCGGGTAACGTTTTCGCCTCTAGAGGGAAGCCGAGTGCTTTGCGAGCCGAAACTTATTCATGAAGAACCTTATCCAAGCCGAGACTTACCAGTTGTACTCGAAAGGATTAGCACCCTCCATCTGGAGTCTAAGTGTGTACACCCCATTCGTGGGGAATCCTCGGGTGTACCCATCGTGTGACCCCGGGCCGGCTTTGTCGGAAAATTTGACCTCAACGTGCTTATCATAGAACAGCGGAATTTCACATTTAAGCAGGAACGAGGTTTCACTAAAGGGAAGACAGCCACCAGATCATAGCTACGTCTCACAAGTGCCTGGGAGCTGCTTGCTGATTGCATCCATGCCGTTGAACTTGATGTTCTGGTTGTGCAATGCTCGGGTTGCGCGTGCATGTTCTGTTTGCGCAATGCTTGTTCCATGATGTTGCGGATCGTCTTGTCAAGGTCGTCTGGCAGGCTGAGCCACCCCTTGCGTAGGTCCGCTTCAAGGTCGTCTGGCAGGCAGAGCCACCCCTGGCATAGGTCCGTTTCGAAGTCGTCTGGCAGGCAGAGCCACCCCTCGAATAGGTCCGTTTCAAGGTCGTCTGGCAGGCTGAGCCACCCCTTGCGTAGGTCCGTTTCAAGGTCGTCTGGCAGGCAGAGCCACCCCTGGTATAGGTCCGTTTCGATGTCGTCTGGCAGGCAGAGCCACCCCCTCGAATAGGTCCGTTTCAAGGTCGTCTGGCTGAGCCACCCCTGGCATAGGTCCGTTTCAAAGTTGTCTGGCAGGCAGAGCCGCCCCGTCACTTGCCCCTGTGGGGGCGTGTGTGTGCGGAGCATCAGATTTACCCTGATGCCAACTTTTCAACATGCAGGGGGGCAACGGACACTCTGGGTCGCGTTGCCCAACGAAGACCGTCCAGAGTTGTCGTGAAGCAACACGGGACGCCGTGCTGTGTACCTGCAACATTTGCGTGATTATGAAAGTCTATTTGGCCCCTTGGTTGCGGCGCTGTTTGTGCTTCTTGTTCTTTCGGGTAACGTTTTCGCCTCTAGAGGGAAGCCGAGTGCTTTGCGAGCCGAAACTTATTCATGAAGAACCTTATCCAAGCCGAGACTTACCAGTTGTACTCGAAAGGATTAGCGCCCTCCATCTGGAGTCTAAGTGTGTGTGTGTGTGTTTGTGTGTTGTTCTCTGCCCGCCTGTTGAAGCACCTTGCTGCCCCATCGCTGTGTAGCGCGTCGCCTGTCGGCGATACACGCGCCACGCCGAACAATCCAGAGCATGGGTGGATGTTTCATAGTGTTGTGGGTCTGCCTATCTGGTGCGCTGAGTTCCTTGTCGCGATTTTGTGTGTCACTGCCAGGGAGGCTTTCTGATCTGACTGTAGTAGGATGGTGTCGTTCTTCCACACTCAACGAGGAAGCGGTGGCCAGCTGTATGGCTCCTCTCGGACTGGGTGTTAATTTCTGTGAATCAAAACCTTTCTTGCGAACGTTCGAGCTGAATGCTTGGGCATTTCCTGTGTTGCTTTGGATGATTGTTCTGTTTGCCTTTGGCTTGTACGCAGACGGACACCAATTAGCAACAGCAACAGCAACAGCAGCAGCAGCAGCAGCAACAACAACAACAACAGCAACAGGCACAGCAACAGCAACAGCAACAGCAACAGCAACCACAACAAACACAAACAAAAACAAAAAGCAACAAAGCACCAAGGCAAGTCACTTGAATAACAAAAGCAACCAAAACCGCAGTCTCTCACACCCTCCATACAGGGTTGCTGTTGCTGTTGCTGTTGCTGTTGCTGTTTGCTGTTTGCTGTTGCTGTTGTTGTAGTTGCAGTTGCTGTTGCTGTTGCTGTTGCTGTTGCTATTGCTGTTGCTGTAGCTGTTGCTGTAGCTGTTGCTGTTGCTGTAGCTGTTGCTGTTGCTGTTGTTGCTGCTGTTGTTGCTGCTGTTGTTGTTGCTGTTGCTGTTGCTGTTGCTGTAGCTGTAGCTGTTGGTGTAGCTGTTGCTGTTGCTGTTGATGTTGCTGTTGTTGCTGCTGTTGTCGCTGTTACTGTTGCTGTCGCTGTTGCTGTTGCTGTTGCTGTTGCTGCTGTTGCTGTTGCTGTTGCTGTTGCTGTTGCTGTTGCTGTTGCTGTTGCTGTTGCTGTTGCTGTTGCTGCTGCTGTTGCTTGCTGTTGTTGTTGTTGTTGTTGTGTTGTTGTTGCTGTTGTTGTTGTTGTTGTTGTTGTTGTTGTTGTTGTTGTTGTTGTTGTTGTTGTTGTTGTTGTTCTTGTTGTTCTTGTTGTTGTTGTTGTTGTTGTTGTTGTTGTTGTTGTTGTTGTTGTTGTTGTTGTTGTTGTTGTTGTTGTTGTTGTTGTTGTTGTTGTTGTTGTTGTTGTTGTTGTTGTTGTTGTTGTTGTTGTTGTTGTTGTTGTTGTTGTTGTTGTTGTTGTTGTTGTTGTTGTTGTTGTTGTTGTTTGTTGT